CAAACATGTACCAAATCTAGGTTAGATTGAAGTAAATTCTGATCGGAATCCGCGTGCATCCGATGCCATATCTTGAGTTCGTCAGCAAGCAGCAGGAATGTTGAAGCGATTTTCTGTGCACGACCACTAGTGAATATCAAAAACAAAAATACGGCCGACCTTGCATCGGTTGGCATGCTACCACACTTGAATCTTTTGGCTCCCTGTGTGCTCCTAAAGCCCGAGCAACCATCCTGCCTTTATATCCTTGCTCAAGGCCTTTTCATATAGCTGTCCGAACTGAAACAACGCCAAATTTATAAATCATTCGATACCATCGGGTGCACCTGACACTACGGAAAGCCTGACAATATACGCGTTTCATGCAAACCCGCAGCTAAGTTGGCGCTTACGTCTGTAAGTACCCAAAACAGCCATATAAATGACATGAGTGCCATTGTGCCTCCTAGTAGACCGCGTATCGACTTATCAGAGAAAGAAATCACACTATTGTCCAAAACAGTGAAGACTAAAGGAGCGCAGAACTCGATGAAGATAACATGATCTAAGTTGCCTAAGTCCAAGACAGCATATTTAAAAGATAAACTGTTAGACGACTTGAAACAACGGGACACCATTTATCAAACATTGCGTGTCCAGGATAAAAGGCCAGTTTGGTTTGTATCGTTTGTCACCCAAACTCAGTTCACTATGGCAAACCACGGCTATTTAAGCTTACACTTCAGTTTGGTGACGAAGCGAAAATCGCCCTCTTATCAACTTACAGTCTTCGTGACCCGTCTTGCGATGTTCCCACATCTTCTGACATCCCTTGAATCGAGCGTCGGCATAGGAAGCAAAACCCAGGAGAATACCGCAAGCAAACGACGAAATATCTATTTTCGTCCATGGTTTCGTGAAACGCAGTCTTCCGACGAGTCGCGAGCTCAAGCTAATGTCTTGAGAGAGTGGCAATACAACCGCGAAACCCCCTCTCTCCATGACGTGATTGCCAACTCAACATCAAGGTTACCCACATCATCCGACCATACAGGATGTGTTCCAAGAGTGCTGAAAGCCTTACCCCACTCCAAACGACTTGTTAAATTAAAGTTCCGAAGCTGACTCAAGCTATTCATCAAAGTGTCATCAGAAATACGTCTGAAGGCAGTCGGAGCCAAGTCACCATGTGCTAAGGGAATACAAGACCTGCAAAATTTCATTGCAAGTCCAGGTGGCTGTATTTCTGAACCGGAACGCAGTGCAACTGCCTTGTCGTCCAAAGAAACAGAAACTGGCAATCTGCCGCAGATCAGCTCTGAGGGATTAGCTAGCTAGTTTTCTGTGTAAAAGTCCGAAACGGCATGGAATCCTGGGCCATAGAATCATTTAAAAATCT